GCCCACCAGTGGCCGAGTGGTCTTCGTACCCTAAACACTGGGAGTTCGGTCGTGGGTTCGCGCCGCGATCGGACAGGCTGGCTGCTTGGAGTTTTCCGGGTTTTCTCCTTGCCAATAACGACTAAATAGGAGGCCAGTTCCCCATAAAAGTCCTCCCGGAAGGCATTAGTTCCCCTCGCGTAACATCGCGCCCCAGAGAAGGCAACGAGAAACCACTCTGGGTACTAACTTTCCCTAGTAACGCCTTGGCGTATTTACTAACTACTTACTAATCTGCGCCGGGTGTGGCCGAGGTCGAGAAAACCTGATATGGCACTATGAGAGAGATGTCTCGTTAAACTTTGTTTCCATTTCGTAGTAAAGTCACAGTTTATGTAGTTGCATTTGAATGATGTTTCTTCTGAATGTATTCTTCTGTGATCTATTAAATTTCTACGGTAGGCAAACTGTTGTTGACAAATTTCGCATTTAAATGGTTTCTCACTGTTATGATCACATAAGAAGTCAGTTCTTATGTGATCATCTAACAGTGCTTTTGAACGAACTGTTTTTCTACATACAGTACACTGATGAGTTCTGTTTTTATCGTTTAAAAACAAATTTACGTTTTACTAAATAATTATAAATTATTTATTTAATCATTAATTTTTTCAGAAATATTTTCTAGTTANCACATTCTCTAAGCGAAATTTCTGCACCCGGTACATCTCCAACAGAAATAAAGTTTTATTTACAAACAGTAAATTGGTTTCTGGAATATAATAGATTTAATATGCCATGTTTGGTACCCAGTTTGTAAAGGTTTTTATCTTTAACCGCAATAACGACACCTAAAATATTTTTTCCATCACTGCGAGCTCGATCTTCATCAGGTACACAATCCTTATTGTATCACCAACAATAGTTGCTGTGTATTTGGAATTTGATGTATTAATCATTTTTTCTGCTTGCTTTTTAAGATTAAACAAAGCACTTGTTTCAGACACACTTCTTATTTTTTCTTCTATTTTTGGATCAATTGTTTCGATTGTTTCTTCTTCATTCATAAATTCTGTAATACTAATAACATCCTGGTTTAGATTTTATTCACGTGAAGACGATGTAGATCTTTGAACTTCATCAGTTATATTGCTATGTAAGGGTGGCATTATCAAATAATATTCCATAATGTTTTTTCGGACGATACCCGGACTTTCAGAGTTTGAGCAACTTTGACTTACTTCGTTGATAGTTTTAAAAAGTCTCTGTAGATCCTCTTCCGTATTAACGTTGAACAACGATTCGTTGAATATAAAATTCTTTAGTCCAACTTTTAACTTTGCTCCAAACATGGCCTCATAGGGGCTGCAGTTTATACCAGTATGATGCGCTCGATTTTTCATCAGTAGTACAAAACGTAATCCTTCCGACCATTCGTTAGTATTGTTAATCTCCAACCAAGAACTAAGCATATTTTCTACTAAACCCTGACTTTGTGAGTGCCTGGGCTTTCCATGCACCATTTTTAACTCGGACCGCATATTACATATTTCTTTGATGATATTATTGGCAAATTCTCTGCCATTATCGCTTTGTAGAATACTTGGTGCACCGAAAATTGTAAAAATATCTAAAAGACCATATGCTACTTCTTCAACCCTTTGGTTTTTAACTCGTTTAATCGTTGTTGAAGCGATTATTCATATCACTTTTAATTTAATTAAAACCCCTTCGTACCCGGCCACTTTTTATAGAATTTTTAATTAAGCATAAAAAATACTTAAAACTGAAAAAAAAACGAAAGAAATGCGTTAACTTTGAAGAAAAAGCTGTGAAGTTTAAGTTCCTTTGTCTTGCCTTTCTGCGAAATTTAACACCAAAGAGTCATTGTTTACACAGCTGGGTGACCTTGAACACAGCTGGAGTTGGATTTCCCGGGGCATTCTCATACATGTCTCGGGAGGACAAGGGTTTAAAGTAGGATGAGTACTAACTTGGCCTATATTTTTGAATATTTTTAAAAAAATAAAAATTTTATTGCGATTTCCGACCCCCCAATTAATTAAATTTATATAGAATAAAATATATTAATTAAAAAAATTTAAAAACTTTTGGAGGTCGTTTTTGACATCAGAAACTAGCTTTAAATAACTTTACCAAAGTCAAATTAGTGCACTACAACTTAGGAACCATGAAATAAATTTGATAAAAAAATTCCCATTAAAAATAAATTAAGCGTTAATCGCGCGTAATTAAAGGTTGATTAAAATCGCGATACAACTTTTTCGCGCGGGCAAAAAATTCTGAAAAAATTTGGAGACAAAAAACATCCAAAAAAATAATTTTTTTAAAAAAATGGCCTTAAGGACCGTTTTTTTGTAACGCTAAGGACCACGCTCGAGACAGACTCGAGCGTGCGTACGAAGGGTTATAATTATTAATATATGTTGTAAATTCATGTTATTTTGTAATAGTTATGGACACCTATTAAAAGAGAAGAAAATTAATATTTACGATTTTTATGAATCAGGTATAACAAGTATATTTTTTAATGTTTCACTGTAAATTACCTGTTTTATTTATAATAATTATACCTGTTATATAAATTTTTTCATGATATTATATTTTATACTTTAAGTTAATAAATTTGATATATTTCATTTCGTAAAATATTTATCCATAGTCGTTTTTGTTGCATTTGAATGGTCGTTCTTCCAAATAGAGCCGTGCGGTAGATTTTCTTAGAAATATTTTTTCTAAAAATTCTGGGCTTTTACTAAACAAATTATAAAACTCATTAAATCTCTATTTTTTATTCTTTTATCAGCAAGTGTTTTTCATATAAAATAAGCTTAATTTTTCAATACTGAGTTTTATTCTTGGTTATATGGTATTAAATGACGTTTACATAAACATCGATATTATTTAGCATTAATGTTTCTTTAACGATGACATTTAAAGACAAATAATGTCGACATAAAAACAAAATATCAGATAATTTTCAAAAATAATTCAAGAACAAAGTTTGGAATAAAATACCGTATTTCGTTACAAAAAGAAATTCAGTGGCAATTGGTAATTTAAAATTTATTGACTCAAATGCTTTTACAATTTGGGAGACGAAATTTCGGGGTAAGGGCGAGTCTTTATAAAAATCGTCATTGTCCGACCCTGCTCGAGATATCACACGCTACCCTTTACTTTTCCATCTCGGAGACGTTAAAGTACCAAATTTTAAGAGAATGAAGCTGTCTATTACACAAAATTTTTCTGCAAAATTTTAGAAATTTTTGACAAAAATCAAAGGAGTTATTAACCTTCAAACAGTGTAAACAAAATCGCGACAACAATAAAAATTACAAGGATTCTGTTAATTACTTTAGGAATTTTACTATCAATATATCTACGAATTTCAAAGTCACATTAACATCCATACATACGTAAGAAACCGCTGAACGTTATTGTATTTCTTGACGTTTCAAGATTACTCTGACAAATGTAAAAATCTTCAGGAAAATAATTTTTTAACCGCCGCCATATTTTTCTTCTGGTACATATACAAGGAAAATAGAAAGTAAAAATAGGAATTCATGAATTCGTTTTCTATAAACAAAGGTTAAGTTATCAAAGTGACAATGTCCATGCTTTCCGATGTGAATGATCGCACCTAACGGAAAATAGGCAAAAAAACGAACAAACCAAACAATAAACGAACAAACACAAGAAACGCCATCGATTGCTTTGTTCTTAAATCGTCTCTTCGCACCAAATCAGTTCAAGGATCGTCTCTCTCATGGCTGAAAGGTACAAGAATCGCTTCTACTATACCTAACAAGTGAGGGATCGCTTCTTTCTTTCCGGCATTGCATCAATGCTAACGAGATACGCGCAATGTTATAGTATTCGATTTAAACATTAAGACTACTACCAATTCCGTTTCTTAACTGCATATTTGATACAAGAGATCTAAGAGCGAATTGGTTTTTAGACATTTTGTTAACTAGCCATGGTGTCTAGACATTAAGACTATATAATTTTATACATAGAATAATATAACATTTCCTTTATAATTACTATTTAAGTAAGTTAAAGATCAAATTGTGTCGAACATTCAAATGTTTACACGAACATTTACTCAGTATAGATAGTGGATTTTCACAATTTATGTATATAAAATGCTTTGAAGCTATTTGGTTCTTTATAATTTTTTATGACAGGATAAATGTAAAAAACAACTTTTAAATTTTGTTTCGTAATATAAATGTTATACGCAGAGATGTGATTATTTATCAGTAATAAAAACGTTCATAATCTTCAGTATCTTCATAAATTCATATATGTTCAAAGCTGAATGTTCAGAATTAATTAGATTGATGGAATTGTCTCTCGTGCTTTTTAAATCTCGAAAGGAAATTGTTGTCCACAAAGCTGACATTCGAATTTAATTTCTATTGTTTCCACTGTCTCTACTATCTTTGAGTAGAATTCAAGTTGTGATGTTTCCAACTTCTTAATTTCTAAATAGACGTTAAAATATTTAAGAAATTCTTTAGCTTCTCCTGGTGTAAAAATTATTTCTTTTAAAGCCATTTGTTCAGATTCATTTGACCCTCTTGCTTGAGCACTTGTTGATGGTGTTTGAAAATAATCTGCTTGCACTTCCTGGCCATGTTCTGTGCTTTTCTAAAAGTAAATATTAAAAATAATATAAAAAATTTCAATTACATAAATGTTAGTGTCTTCAATATCATGCAAATTAATATAACGTTGAATATAAATCAGATTAAACTTCCGAGATGTTTAAAATTTTAATGTGACGTGTTTGTGATAAAAACATTCTTTTGTAATAACGAATTATAAAACAACTTACGTAAAAAAGGATATATTTCGAAATAAATGCTACGATTAAATTTACTAAAAATGTGTTTTAATAGACGATTTCTTTTAAACACAAATTCGAATATTGATGTAGACAATTAATTAAATAAAAATACAATTCTATCGTATTACTGAAAAATTAACTTGCGATAAACATGCAAATTATACGCAACAACACGAGTAAATTAAAGTCAACAGATAAGATATAATTTGATTAGTAAATAGTTAAAGTAAAACTTAATTTTATTACATTATCTTTTTGAAATTATAATAATATGCGATTAATTATTAAAAGATTATATTTCAAAAAATTTCTTTACGTACTTTAGAGTAAGATTCAGTTGCTTGTGGATGTTTCCATTTCTTGTGACAATTTAAAATCCATTTATGCAAGATTATTTTCTTGAAAATATCACATTCATAGATTATTCCTTTCGTTTCTATTGATGGAATCTAATTATCATACGTTTTATAAGTTGATTAATTAATATAAATTAAATAAAAAAATGTAACATTTACTATTTTAAAAATAAAGTTAAATAGTAACATGAATTTTTCTCATTTCCTGTAACTTTTGAATACTTACACGAAGAAAAGTTACATGAGAATTAATAACTATTATTTCTTTAATCGCAGTCACTTTCAAATCTAAATGGAATTTTATTTTTTTAACATTTACTAAAACATATTTATATAATTATATACGAAAATCCTTGTCTTTTAAGAAGAATTTGCTGAAATGAATTAATTACATTATGTAATGTTATTTTTTAAATTTAATCACAAGAACCTAAATATAAAAAAAATTAACAGTAAAATTATTAAAAACTAACAAAGAAAAAACGCCATTTAAGCCATTTAAGTTTTTAAACTATAAAATACATATGCTTCATTACAATATAAAAACACTAGCTGTTAACCGCGACTTCGCCGGCGCAGATTTTGCAAGCAAACCCATTTATACTCAGTATATTATACCATATAATTGTTATATAACACCTACCGCTGAAATCGATGAGAATTGCTCAGAACCAAACAAACTATTTTCCATTTGATCGATTTTCTGGAACGTTTATAATGCTTGTATAATCGAATCAATACGCGATAACAAATTCGAATTTAAAACGGTTCGAACATTTTGTTAAAAATCGAAATATATAAAAATATTTCTAACGATGTCTGAAATGTTATCAATTTAGTACACCTAAGTACTTAATGAAGACTAAACGTAGTTGAAAACAAAAATTTGCATCCAAAATAGTACAGTAGAAGCCGTTTTTCCGCTTAAGCCATAATGCGCTCCCTCTCCCCCCACGGGGAAATTTCGAAAAAATCCCTTCTTATTGTGCATTCTCATGGCTTACCCTACTAAAACGTAGTTAAAAATGAAATAAACCGCATCTAATAATAATATACTAAATTTATTGTTAATTTAAATAATAGCTAGGGACGCCCGAAATGGCCGTTTTAGGCATTTCGTTACATGTATTCAAACACGCATTCAATGGCTTATATTATTAAATGTCCAATAAAGAAAAGATTCATATTTTGTTTGCGAGAAAAATTTAGTAATTGTACAGTTGATTACATTAACATTTTAAAGAAATTGTACGTAGAAATTTGTTATTTCTGTTTTACTTTACTCTGATTTGCACTTATACATGAGAATAAATTCATTTATGTGTATTCTTCTTCCGATTTATTTGTTCCCCAGACTTCGATGTTTAATTAATTCAAAACATGGTTGTAGTAATAAAAAAAATTTTTGTTCTTAAAACACATAATAATAATAATGTTTTTATTTTTCTCTTGAATTCTAAATTACACAATTTCGTTTACTATTATTATATATATGTTATGGATGAAGTGATTAATCGGGCATTATGAATAATGACCAAATAGGGCGGGCAGTGTGAGAAATATTGATTAATTTATCAAATTGACCGGTCATTATGAATACTGCTATCACCTACTTGGGCAAAGTGATAATAATAGGTTGAGGAGTGATCATCTGACATACGCTAGCCAATCGGCACGCTGAGTTGCGTACGCGTATCTACAACATTTANTACTTTTCCTTTGTTTAAGGGTATTTGGGCAGTTTATTCTCTGTTATATTCTCAAGTAAACAATACATACAAGTACAGTACAGTATTTTCTGAGGAAACACTCGTACTTATTTTTTTTAACCCCATTTCCGATAACCCGGCATTTTCACAAACTCGGCCACCCTTCGGTCCACATTAGGCCGAGTTTTCGAGGTTCTACTGTATTATTATATATATAATAAATAAATACATAGTTAAATCTTTTGTATATTCTACCATATATTATTACCATAATTACTATATATTATTACCATATTATACCATAATAATATTAATGGTTTATACTTTTTAAAGTAAGCATAAAAAAGTTGGGCACTTGTTGATGGTGTTTGAAAATAATCTGGTTGCACTTCCTGCCATGTTCTGTTCTTGTTTAAGAGTAAATATCAAAAATAATATAAAAAATTTCAATTACATAGATGTATATATTTTTTGTATTTACTTTTAGAAAAGCACAGAACATGACCAAGAACATAAAAAAGTATAAACAGTAAAAGTATAAAGTTTGACTTAAATAGCAAGAAATAAATATACTTACTCGAGAAGACACTGCTTGTACATGTTCTCCATGGAGCTGATTAAAAAAATTATTTTTATATTTAGTATTAAATGTGCAATTTTGATAGTTGCGTTTATAACCTCGTTCTTTTGAATGTACTACTTTATTGTGTCTTTTTAAGGTGGAAGAGAAGGAAAATCGTCCTCCGCAAATTTCGCAAACATACGGTCTTTCATCAGTATGTCTTCTTATATGTCTTTTCAACATGAAGTTTTTCTTAAAACTTCTTCCACATTCAGGGCATTCATGTTTTTCTTTTTCATCCTTTTTAAAAATAATCGTAATGTAATTACTACAAGTTATTAAGTTTTTCTCTAATTATTATCATAAAGATTTTCTAGTTATATAAAAAGATAATGGTAAAATATAGAAACTTATTCGATGTGACATTACAATTTCAAACTTTTTGTTGTCAGAATTTCATATAAAACGGTTTGCCAATTATACGCTATGTGTTAGAATAGAAATAAAATATTTCACTTACCTTTTCTGAATTCATTTGAAATATTTATGGTCTAAATTATAAAATTAAGTTCGAAATTTTAGCAAGAGGAGAAAGCGACGATGCAGTACATTAATGTGAGATTAATCAATTCTGTTTAATTGTTATCATAAGAACAGGAAAAACAAACAAAATTACTTCTGCGTATTTGAAAAATGTAGACTAAACAAGTACTTTTAAGGTCAATTTAGAAAATTAATTAAATAAAGTATGACGTATAGCAAAATGTATGCATGACGTGTAGATTGCAGAAAAAAATTCTAATTAATAATGACTAATATAAGGGGGAAAATGTGAGGGAAAAAAGAAGATGCTTCTTGGCCTCTTCTTTTTCCCCTCATAGTTGAGCCCTCGTGAAGCTGTTGCCATTATAGGAAGCCTTATATTTACAGAAAAATATATTTTCTTTGACTATACATACCTAGATGAGTCTTAGTGTGTTTTTTGTCCCTTCACACGCTATACGTGGCAATAACAATTTCATCGGCGAAGTCGACCTTTCTTTGTAGGCTTCATAAAAAATTCACCAATAAATGTAAAATAGTTACAAAAGTCATCTTGTAGTAGCAGAGCAAAATTAAAATTAATAAATATTACAACATGGCCTAGCCACTGTAATCTTCTCATTTTAATTATTTCTGTGATCACTTTCTTGTCATAGTTTGTCTGTAGTTCCTAATTTGTACTTCTCCTCCATATTGGTTCTTTATTGAGCGTGATACCATTATCATTATAGTTTTCCACAAATATGAAGATTTTTTTAGTACTTTTTTCAAATTTCTGTAGTTGTAGTTCTTCCTGCTTTTTCATTGGCCATGTTTCACATTCATACAGAATCGCAGGTCTAATCAGCGGCGTATATACAGTTAGCTTTTTCATTTTACTAAGGAGTCTGCTTTCTAGTATGTTTGTGTGCCCGAAGTAGATTTTGTTTCCTTATAGCAAGCGAGTCCCTATCTTCTTGATGTCATTGTTTCTGTTTACGTCAGTTCCTAAGTCCGTCGTGCTGAATGTCATATCGTCTAATATTAGATTTTGTTTCAAGTGGATAAGACGCTTTACTTAAATATAGTGTCGGGAAATTTCATACAGAAAAGTGGAGACAATCTGAAGTGAACCCGTTTCAATGATGAAAACTTGCTATATCAGGATCAAGGCAAAAACAATTGGTGGCATCAATTAAAGAAGGAACTGTACGTTGACAGTTAAAAAATAAAAAAATAAAACTAATTGATTCAATACTGTAGTATTATTAATGTAAATTTGTTATTTAGGGGAAATACGCCTTTCAGCATTCGCAGCAAAGCACAACCTGCTTTTCTTGGCTATGGAGCGTCTGCCGAAATTAATTATAAACATTTGTCCCGACTCAAAAATAGCTCAAGGTTTGGCATGCAGCAGAACCAAAACAACAGTTGTTCTGCTATTTGTGAAGTACGTTACTGTTAACGAGAATTTTCTTCAGGTTTGTGAAGATTTACGAAATAAGAAATTTTACCTTATCGTGGATGATTCAACGAATCGGAACGCAATAAAACACTTATGCTTAGTTGTAAGGTATTTAAAAGATGACGTTATTCAAGATATATATATTTTGGTCTTTTTAACTCTTACTTGCCTGGGTTCACCGCCCCCTTATTTTATTTTACTTCCCTTAACGACCAAGGGTCATTTAGGTGATTCAAGGTCAGTCAGGTTATATTATTTTAAAAATTTGCCAAAAATCAAGTTTTTGTTATATTCATATGAAAAAAATCACATNTTTTGTTTCAAGTGGATAAGACGCTTTACTTAAATATAGTGTCGGGAAATTTCATACAGAAAAGTGGAGACAATCTGAAGTGAACCCGTTTCAATGATGAAAACTTGCTATATCAGGATCAAAGCAAAAACAATTGGTGGCATCAATTAAAGAAGGTACTGTACCGTTGACAGTTAAAAAATAAAAATAAAACTAATTGATTCATTACTGTAGTATTATTAATGTAAATTTGTTATTAAGGGGAAATACGCCTTTCAGCATTCGTAGCAAAGCACAACCTGCGTTTCTTGGTATGGAGCGTCTGCCGAAATTACTTATAAACATTTGTCCCGACTCAAAAATAGCTCAAGGATTGGCATGCAGCAGAACCAAAATAACAGTTGTTCTGCTAATTGTGAAGTACGTTACTGTTAAGTTTAACGTTTTCAATTTATATTTTGAAAGCCTAACAACGTGAATTTAAGCCTAACACCGTTTCGTTTACAGTCGATCCCCCTATAAGATCATTGATTTTTCCGTTTTATCTGAATTACATGTTGTACGAGTCACTTAGATTTTACAAATATATGAGCCGTTCACAGCCCGGCACACGTATTTGTAAAATCTAAGTGACTCGTACAACATGTAATTCAGATAAAACGGAAAAATCAATGATCTTATAGGGGGGTCGACTGTA